GGGAGCCGGGGGGGCGCGTTGCGTGCTCGCACCGGGGCTCTGGCGCTGGACAGAGGTCTGGAAAAACGCCGTGAAACCCCTTCTAGGTATTCTGGCTAGCGGGCCTGTGCTCACTTCTCAGAAACCGTGGCAGTGCAACACCCTCAGGTACCTTCTCGCCTAGTTCTTCACCCCTGGTGCATACGGGCGCTACAGTGACCGCCTTCTCGCCGTGTAATTACACCCAGCTCCTGAGAAGAATGATCCTACCTTCAGCACCATTTACTGGTGACACACGCGTGCTGTTACATCTGCACCAGCCCGATCTGCGTGCTTTCTGCCCGCAGGCGTCGGGGACAGCATCCTGCGAGGAGGCCCGCACAGCGCGCGGCAGCAGGGTGTGGGCCGTGGGGTGTTACTGTGCAAACTGTCAGTCAGTCCCCTCTGCCCCTGCTTGTTTTCAGACCCGCGCAGCTCACCACCGTGGGGAAACGCTGCTGCTTGTGGATTCAGGACTTGTGCATGGACCTGCAGAACCTGGAGCGGGCTCGGGATGACCTGCGCTTTCGGGGTGTCAAAGGCACCACTGGCACTCAAGCCAGCTTTTTGCAACTCTTTGAGGGAGACCACAGTAAAGTAAGTCAGCCCAGGGCGTGGACTTGCAGTCTTGGCAGTTCTCCGCTCTGGAATGCTGCTCTCTCTGGGGGAACATGGGGATTCTGGCATCAAATTCACAAGGGCACTGCGATCTCTCTGGGGCCCACTGACAAGGCCCTGCGGGAAAGTGCGCAGAATTTGGGGCGGGGGTGCTTCCCAGCAGGTAAAACATTTCTTGACAGTAAACTGGGAAGAGCAAAGGATCATCTTTGCTGTTGCTGACCTTCCTGAGTTGTCGCATTCTGAGCTCTGGTTTTTTTCTTCACCCTGAGGTTGAAGAGCTGGACAGATTAGTGACTGCAAAGGCGGGATTTCAGCGGTAAGTAACAAGCATGCTTAGTCACCTCTGTTTGGAGTCAGCACAGTGTGACTCCTGCTGTCCGTGTTGGCCCAGATTCCCCTGACTGCCAAACTGACAGCTCTGCTGCCGTTGACTTCTCTCCCCTTGCCATCCTGCGTTCCCAGTTGCAGCTTCCCAAAGGAAACTTCACTCCCTACACAGGCCACTTCTACTTGTCTCCCTGTCAAAGCACGGCTGTCCATTTTCCCTGTTTGTCTCCCTCCCATCTCCATGCTGCCCCGAGAAGCTGACAGCCTGAATCCAAAGGCAGGATGACAGCCCTCCACTTGAAGAGCCACGTCACCCCTTGCTCGAAGTCTCGCAGTCCCGTTGCATCTCTCTGGAGCGCTCGGCTTCTGTGCTTATTTCTAGGGCTTACATGGTCACAGGGCAGACGTATAGCCGCAAGGTGGATATTGAAGTCCTGTCTGTGCTGGCCAGCCTGGGGGCATCCGTGCACAAGGTGAGTGCCCCGTTTGTGTACATCGGGAACAGCGGCGAACATTTTAGGTCTGGAAGGGAAGTTGCTCAGGGTGCAGGATGCTCTTCTCAAGAAGTGTTAGGTGGTGTTCCTTGTTCAGCTGTTCTCTCTGTGGTCATGTGAATTCACCACTGGGTACGTGCCTAGGCATCAGACCTCAAAAATCTTAAGACCAGTGGCAAATAAAGCAAGTTTACCAAGCAGATTCTGAGATGGGTTAACAAATCCCACACCAGATATTAGTCTAAATCTGTGCTAAATTGATCCAATTGGAGTAAATGTCTTTCCTGGTGGTGTACAAGTTTTTAAATCTCACAGTTTGCTCCTAGTTAATTGCTTCTCTGATAATGGTGTTATTCTCTCTGTCCTTGTGGATTCTTTTCATCAATTTATCTCTGTTCCCTCCCTCCCCCTTCTCTTGGGCGTGAGTGATCTGTGGTATTTCCTCCCGGTTTAGTTTTGTAGGCTGGCTGGTTCCGTGGGCACACATTATCTGTGTTTGCAAATCACGCTGCAGTTTTGTTATGCTTTTTCAGAATTCCCTCCTGATCTGTCTTCCATTCCCTGCAAACGTTTGCCCTCCTTGGAGTCCTGTTCTGTTCTAACGCAGCGGGCATGCTTTTCTCCTTACGGAGAACCCTCCTGGCATTTTTAGGCCAGGAAGTATGATGGCAGTGTCTTTTTTTTTTTTTTTTTTTGTCAAATTTCTCCCTGCCCCCCTAGATTACTTCTCGGACACAGATGCAGACACTTCTCCAAAAACACTAACAGGAGCATATTTTCGCGTGTGTTAGTTTGGTTCTGTTTGTTAATTTCTTGGACTTCCTTCTAGATTTGTACTGACATTCGCCTCTTGGCCAACCTGAAGGAGATAGAGGAGCCTTTTGAGAAGGAGCAGATCGGTAAGGGATGGGAGACTTTTTTTTCATTTATGTTGGTGAAGCCTTTTAAGCAACCTTAGAAACGTCACTGAGAGAGGTTGCTTTAAATTAACTGGACTTTGACATTGTTAGTATTTTGGGTCATTTTTCAAGAAAAAATAAATAGAAGGGAATTTAAAAAAAAAAAAGGGAAAAAAGGCACCTTTTGCAAAAGATTCTGGATATTAAGTAGAGTAAGATTTGTATTCATGCACTTCCTGGGTTTGGGGGGAGAGCAGCCGTCATGCCTCGTTCCCCACAGAGGAAGATATGGGTCTTCAGGAGTACTTGGTGTTTTCCATTCCCCATGAGGCTGACTGCAGCTGTAGGTTTTCAGCTTGACTCAGCATTTTGGTCTTTATAAACAGAAATTTGGAGTGATGAAATGTGGGCTGGAGCCTTGCCAGAAGAATACCAACGATGTGATTCTGACATCGGTGTAAGGGAAGAAGGAACGCAGGGTTTTGGATCTTGTCTAGGAGAAAGTTCAGGCCCCCTAAATAGTTGCGTAGGGTTGAATCGGCAGATTAAGCCTTAGCTGTCTCCGTTCCTTGAGCCATTCTGCGTTCCGTGGGTGGTTTTGATACCCATTCACCAGAGCAACAGGCAGCAGTATAAATATCTGGCTTTGAAGGGTAATGTTATTGCGCAGGTCTGGTCGTGAACGCTGCTGAAGTTGCCATGGGTAGCCTAGAGAGATGGTCCTAAATACTACGTTGAAAGTGAAGTCTGGTTGTTCTTTTCGTGTGGTGCAACTTCTCTTTTGCAGAACTGCAAAATGTATTTTCTCTTTTTTCTCCCCACATTTGGAGAGAAATATGGGGAGAAAATGCTTCTCCTCTAACCTGGAGAAGCATGGTGGTGTCATTTTCTTTATTCCATTTTGTCCTTAGAAAATCGTCGTGTTTCAAGGCTTTAGTCAAAAACATGATTCCTGACACATTTTTCTTCCCTGGGGAGGACCTTCATCTCTTCTTCCTGAACGCGCAACTTCCGTTGCCCCGTTTCCGTCCCCCTCTCGCAGGTTCGAGCGCTATGCCTTACAAGAGGAACCCGATGCGGTCAGAACGCTGCTGCAGCCTGGCTCGACACCTGATGACTCTGGTGCTGGATCCCCTCCAAACGGCCTCTGTGCAGTGGTTTGAGCGAACGTTGGATGACAGTGCCAACAGGTTTGTTCAGAGCATGCAGTGCAGTGATTTCAGAAGGCCTTGTGCAGGAAGGTCCTTGGATGTATTTAGAAAATACTATTTTTAAACTAAACCCACAAGTTACCACCTTGATGAAAAGCAGTCTCAGTAGAATCTAGAGACCACAAACTGGTTTCCTCTCTGAGATCAGATGAAAACCGTTAGGTGTTGTTTTAATGTCAAGATCTTTTGCAAAGTTAGCCAGCAGAGAGAAGGAGGGATGCAGAAGCCGTGGTAATAATTTGCTCTCGTAGTCTTCCTGTTTCAACAGCACAGTATAATAGTACTCACATTTCTCCAATTTTCCTGTTTTTAATGTGCATTTGGCCCTGCTCCTCTCCACTTCTTAAAGAATAATTCAACGCTTCGTCTGTAATCCCTTAACCCTCCAAATAATCTAAAGAAACTTATTTCCATCCCTTTGTAAGGTGGTGTTTTTTACAAGAAGCAGTTCAGATCCTAAAGAAAAAGCACAAACTTCTGGTTTTGGGGTTTTTTTTGAGTAATGTTTCATGAAAACCTGTGCAGATCTCAGATACCGCTCAGCAAACTCTGCTTGTTTTCTGATTCTTCATTGTGACTATTTTCAGATGTGCAAAAGGTACCCGTAATGATTATCCAGTAAAGGACAGCAATTAAATTTACTGCTTCCATCTTCCAGTTGGTACTAAATTTGCATAAAGCTAATATTTATCTTTGAAATGTTTTCATTCCAAAGTAGTTGTCTGTTGCAGAATTTGATCTGCCAGAATCTAAGGGCTGTCTTTAGATTGCTGAGATATGGGGCTTGTGGAACAATCAACAGCAGCAGTTTTGGCTACTGACTAACGTTAAGGTTGTTGATGAGAATGTTATTTTTTCCACATGCATAATGACTCCACAAAATTTCATGAAAGTATAGAAGATCCTTTCCCAAAAGGACCTTACTCCACAGCTGCTAGTCTTGTGAAGAAAGGCTGCAGAAAACCAAGTAAATTGAAGAAATTGGATCCCGGTTGATGTGGTGTGTTTATTGCCCAATAGGTACCAAGTGTTGAGGGATGTGCTGGAATGTTTTGAGTTCTGTTTTCACCATGTAATAGGAGGGGTCATTTGTCCACTTCATAATTCAATTTAAAACTCCCGTGCCTTGGATTTTTCCTGTTAAAGCTGTAGCGTTTTGAAGGGAGAGCAAGCCAGAGAAAAGCAATCAACCTACAAAGCTGCAAAGTGATGGAATGGGGGCCTTAATTGTAGGCCAAGGTTCAAATACTGGTGTATTTTAGAAGATCACAGTTTAGAGCAGGCCAGGCTCTGCTGTCACAGGTGGATGGTGGTGCAATTGCCACACGGTGATGCAGAGCCTTTTGCCTGATACAGCTCAGTCCCCACTGCCCCTCTCCTTTTTGTCATTCCTTTGTGTCAGGAGCTTCCTTTGTGACCAGGAGCTGGTCTCCTGGAGGAAGCCCCCACCAAATGCATGGATCACTTTGGAAGTTCCCACTGAGCACAGCCAGGCACAGCATGAGCGTGTCTTACCCTTGGAGGGGAGGATCAGCAGACAGGGCAACCTAGAACACACAGGGGAAGATACTCATGTGTTTGCCAGCTCTGTAGATTGCTACCCTCTTTCCTAGCTGTGTAATCACTGCATTATCTTGGAGCACTCTCTGTGTGCCTTCACCCTTTCTTTTCCTCTCTCTCCCGTTCTCTACTGACAAAAAACCAGCCACCAAGCAAAATCAAACCCCCTCTCCCTTCTCCCCAGCTTGAGAGCTACTGCTGTAGGATGTTCTTTTAGCTTTCCTGGATGTGATGTTTAAGCAACAAGAGGCACCCACAAGGAGAACAGTTCCAGCTTTAGGGCCACCGCAATGCTATTTACAGAAACTGAAGCGCTGGAGCATGGCCGTTATTGCTAACCGGGGCCCTGGGTATGTGTGTTTCATAGGCGCGTGTGTCTGGCTGAGGCTTTCCTCACAGCTGACATCATTCTGAGTACACTGCAGAATATCTCCGAGGGACTTGTGGTATATCCAAAGGTAAAGCAGGAGATAATGTGTGCAGTGCTGCATCCTTAATAATGCTGCAACTGCGCCAAAGCATGTAAAAATCCTCCCACCAAAGGATTACATTCTGATCTGTTAGTTCAGATGGTTTCTGAGCTGGGCTCTGCATTCTTGCTGTATTCTCACTGCAGGACAGGTGTGAAAGGTCCTTGTTGAAGCCAAAAGATGGTAAATGCAAAACTTCTCACAAAGGATGTTTTCCCCTGAACTACAAAATGGATCTGTACAACTTAGCATCAAAAGATACTGTCGACAGATCTCATGCAATCCTGAAACTTACCTACAGTTTTTAAAAAAAGTTCATTGTACATCTTTTCCACAGTAGTGTCCCTTGCAAGATACAGCTTCTAAGTATTCTCAGCTTCAATATCTGGGTTACCAGAACTAAATTCAAAAAGGACTTATCTTTGCATCGTTGTCCAGCCCTGGAGATTCAAAGGGAGAGGAAAACTTCACTGGGAGTCCCAGTTGTCTGCAGGATTTCAATAATGCTGTTTCTTTTTTCTGTTTTGTTTTGTTTAAGGTGATTGAGAGGAGGATCCGGCAGGAACTGCCCTTCATGGCCACGGAGAATATAATCATGGCGATGGTGAAAGCAGGGGGCAATCGTCAGGTACAAATGCAGTCCAGAATACCTCTGTTCACTGCTTGGCATTTGATCCTGAGAAAAAAACATATCTGGGCTCTTGTCCTGACTATCTTGCCTTTCTTTGTTCTCCACCTACTCCCACAGAGTTACTAATATTACACTGGTGCTGCAAAGCCAGACTCCACTCTCTGAGGAGAGCGCAGTTGTGGAGATCCGTGTTTTCTGTTAGGAACAGTGTGTGTTTGAGCTAATCTGGCTGTCTGCGCTGGAGGAGAGGGAGACCTATTTTTATGTTAGATACCAGTAGGCGTTTTCCTTTTGTAAATGTTTGAAGGAACTTGGAACGCAGGCCAGGCGTCTTGAAATGGAACGCGTTGGCAGTTGGCTACCTCATAAATTAAAAGAATGAATCAGTGATGTTAATGAAAAAGTAAGAAAGACCATTGTGAACCATTCGCCCATGTGTCACTCTTCCCTAATTCATTATAGTGCTTTTTATTAACAGCTTTGGTGATGGTCCTGCATTGTTTTCTGTGTTCAAACAAATTGATATTAAAAGTTTTCCTTCGTAGCTAAATCCAGACACAATTAGATCATATTTCCGTATCGTTTAATTTCACAATTCAGTTTAAAACTGAAAATCAAATTTACATCTTATACCAGCTGATTTTCACTTACCTTTAGATAGTAGTTTTTCCTTCTGTGGTTATTTCCACATCAGGGACAGAAGCTAAACTTGCAAGGTGGTAGTAGCAAAAGGTTTGCTAGAAGCTTTGAGGAGGGTGTGTGGTTCTAGTTCTCTGAAACACTTCACCTGTGATGTTAGTTGGGAAACATCTTTTTTCTTTTTTGATCTCATGTCTCTGGTGTTTGTCACTGGGTCAGTCAGTCAGCTTCCTAACTAAACTCACTAAGGGTCACCTCACGTAGATAAGTTTCCTTATCTTTTCAGCTGGTTCCCTTTCTGAGGTATCCTGTACTTCCGTAAACAGTTCTCTCTGTTTTGTTGAGACTGAAGAGTGAACTTCATTTGTGGCCTATCTTCTTTCTGGTGCTCTTTAATTACAAACCTACAGAGTTTAGTACGTTTATAAAAGCTGTTCATATTCACATTCGTATGTTCTGTTTTCATGTGCTGGGAACTCTGGAACAGCACATTTTCTATCCTTTCCCACCTCATAGCACAGAAACTCACTTCCTTTCCACACTGCTACACAGCTGCCTCCCCAAAACATCCAGAAGACAGATCTGTTCACTTGAGGCAGGCCAGTGCTGGAGCAAGAGGGCGTTGGGATGGAGGAAACGGGAGATCATTTTCCTCCTAACTGAAGATAGACCAAGGATAGTACATTTGAGGAGAAGATTCTTTCATGGCCATAAATGCAACCACACAACTGTATTTTACAATCGGCATGGCAGCATCTGGTTTTGCAGACCCTCTGACTACAGTTGGGTTCCCTTGTTTTTTCAGATTGATTCCACAGGAAGTCAAGGGATTAGGACATCTTTCGGGAAAATTGTTGTAAGGGTTTTACCAGTCTTAGTGCCACGTGAGGGTTCTGTGAGAGAGCATGTCTTAAGGCTCTCAGGTTCGTAAGGGGTTTTTTTTCCTTCAATTTGTCCTTATGTGAGCCATGGCTTATGTAGTCTCACTCCTTGTTAAGTTGGACAGGCTCCTTTCCCTTCTCCAAATCTGTAGATGTTCTACGTTGCTTACAGCTGAAAAAAAATATCATAGCAGCTCCTAAGAGTATTTGGGCAATTTGAAGAAGTGCAAAGGACCGGTGTTGTACGTTTGTGGTATAATTGAACAGGGAACATATGTGACATTCAAACTGGTTTAGCCCCAAAGGGCAGATGTGGAAGGACGAAGCAAATCTTGTTTTAATTAAGCAGAGGTGGAGCCCCAAAGGGCAGATGTGGAAGGACGAAGCAAATCTTGTTTTAATGCAGAGGTGGATGAGACACTGCAGTCCAAGCCGTGTCTCACCTGTGTACTGTCCAGTGCAGTACACTTTGAGGTTTTTTCCTCCCGCACGAGTTAGCAGGATGAAGATGTGCTGTCAGTAGGAATGGAATTACTTTTTTCTTTCCCCTCCCTCTTCCCTCTGCTCCTGCAGGATTGCCACGAGAAGATTCGGGTTCTCTCCCAGCAAGCAGCTGCTGTTGTGAAACAGGAGGGGGGTGATAATGATTTTATTGCCCGTGTCCGTGCTGATCCTTACTTCAGCCCTATCCATAAACAACTTGAAAGCCTGTTGGATCCCTCCTCCTTCACTGGACGTGCTCCTCAGCAGGTAAAGTAGTAGAAAGAGGCTACAGGTGTTACGAGTTGTAATGCAGTGTGTTGATTAATCCTGCCTCCTTTTGTATGCCAGAGAGCGTACATAGAATGGTAGAGTCGTTGGGGTTGGAAGGGACCGTAAAGACCATCTAGTTCCAACCCCCCCACCGTGGGCAGGGACACCTTGCACTAGGGCCTCTGTGAAACAGAGAGACCAGCAGGTCTGAATGGGGAGGAGAAGGCAAGCTCACCCTTTCTCTAGTTTTATCTTTCCCCTCTTTCTCGAACAGGTGGCAAAGTTCCTGAAGGAGGAGGTGCGACCCGCGCTGGTTCCATACCAAGGCAAGATGGGTGGGAAAATTGAGCTGGCACTTTAGGTGGATTCTGCAAAGGCGTGTGGGTACAGGAAGATAATAAAAGCCTTACTGAACCAGGTCTGTTTACTGTGCCGTCTTATTTTGGTTCTCCTCAGTACATTTAACCCCCAGAGCTTACAGCCACCTGATTCCAGGCTTTTCATTCTTTGCCTGCTGTTTAATCAAGCCTCCATCTATTGCGTGCTGAGCTACTGAGAAACGCTTGATCGTGACAAGGTAACTTTATCGCAGCACCTTTCATTGGCCCCTTACAGAGCACCACCAGCTGTTTCAAAAGCGATGCCAGGTGCTGCCTGACGTTCCTGTATGACTGACTTGTTGAGCAGGGGTAGGGGAACTGAGCCTTCTCCCATTTCCACATCATTCACCTGCTCAACCCTCTCCACGTGTCTCAAAAAATGATAAAAGTTTGTCCTGGCTTTGAGAGTACTGTCATTTAGGGAGCAAATAGGCCAAAAAAAATAGGAATAAAGAAAGGGAGAGGCCACGGAACTTCTTGGCTTATCAAACTGGTGGTCCTTCAGTGCTCCCTTCCTGGTTTAATACTGTGCCTGTGGCTCTGGAGCTTCTGGAAACCCTATGCAGAGGTGTGGGTTAGGAACCAGCCACTGTGGTTTAGTTTCCCACGTCCTTGGCTGTAGGTGCTTGATACTGAATGGCAGGTGGATTCTGCCGTGTGAAAGTCATTCTCTGCTGCAAGTAAGTTTTGTCTGATAAGGTAAGAAAAAAGATGTTGGAATTCATTGGATGCCAGAGAAATTCAAGAGCTTTGGTCTTATTTCTGACCCTGAACGTTCTGGTTTGTAATGTCCATGTTTTACTGGACCAAACTCTTCTCCCTGGAAGACTTAAACTGGAATGATTCCCTTACTTCTTCTTCCAGTGTTGTTACATCACAGCCCATTTCTTTTGCTTCAGTGCAATAAAAAGCTCCCTCTTACCTTTGTTACTTATTCAGACAGAGATGACATGATCAAAATTACTCGATTCTATTTGAGGTGTGATTGCTGGAGAGAATTAAAGGCAGAATTAATTGAAGCAAACTACCTGCTCTCCTTCAGGCCATTACTGCTTAAAGAGGATTTCAAAATACAGTCTGTTTTAACGAGGCTTGTCTGTACTAACTAGTCAGAGGAGTGGGAAGCTTCAAGCCATGATCTCCCTCATCTAGATTGCTCTGGCTTCAAATTGCCTCTAGGCTATGGCATTCAAAATGTCTCAAACATTTATGGTGGTTTTATGGTGTTCAAAACATTTTGCCTGCTCGTGCTATTAACATTTAATTAGCCATCTGTTTGAAAAGGATAACTGTAACTGAACACTAGTAATTTTCAAACTATTGCTGAAATAGATATCCAAGAAAGAAAACAGATAGATACAGAAGTTCTCCGGGTTTGGTTGTCTTTCCTCCCCCTTTGTGGGATTAAAAATCCAACCCTGTGCAGAGAAGAGGTACAGCTAATGCTATCTTTTCTCATCATTCCAAAATAAACTGTGAGGCATCGGGCTTGTTTTCCTGGAAAGTTCGAAAAGAGCAACGACGACACAGGGCCAGAGCAGCGCGGTGTGATGCGCGAATCCTTCTGGAGGCTTCCGCAGCAGAGCTCGGTTTGGGACCCCCGTTCTTTTTCCCAGCGGAGCTGGCAGAGGCACTGCCCAGACGTGTGGTTCCCCCCTCCCCCGGGTTGTTGGGAGCAGGTCACCACGAGGCGGCTCTTGGCGGCTTCTCGAGGCCGGTTTGTGCTGGGACGATTCCGAAGCCCATATCCGCCACAGATGCCACCCGT